AAAATAAGTGCATTTAAAGAAAATATTAGGCAAATACTCATACAGTGTAGGTGCTTCTGACAAAAGTTATGATGGAGTCTGGGGAATCTCTGGTGAGTGGACAAGTGAGGTAGGAAGGTTGGGGGCAGGTAACAGGTTCTGGGGCTAGCTCTGTCACTAACCAGCTGACAGGTCAGACCTCTTTGGGCATCTATTCTTTATTGGTAAAGAGATTGTTGGGGTGACCTCTAAGGCCCACCCCAGCACCACCATTCTATGTTCTCTTGTCAAATGCCATTATAAGGACACCAATTTCTATAAAACACAAGTAAATATTCTCAGCCTTAACACAAGATGTGCTCACTTAACTAGTCAAGGAAACTAACGGACTGATGTGGATTTTTTTTTTTAAGGTTAAACAAAACCTACTACTGGTAGATTAGACGAAACCTTTGAAAGATTGGAGATAAACTTGGTTTTGCTTAGTAATGTGGACGGAAAAGTGGCCACAGGATAAACCTGACAAGCTTAGGAGACTAAAACTAAGATGGGTGAACACACACACAAACAAATTTTTAACTAAGTGGGCCCTGGTGGGAAGTCACATCTTCAGCTTCCTCATTAAGTTAATATGTGCCTTTTCATTGGGCCTGCTGTTTTTCTATACCTAAAACAACATCTTTAATCCTTTTTCCAGACCAGAGCTGGACACTGCAAAATTCCTCATTATTATGCATGTCTCCTGATTTCCATCTCTATGTGCTGAAAAGCTAACTGTTAGCTCTCCTGTACCCACCTACTTAAAAGAAGTACCTGTCTCTCCAATTTACTTTTATCCAATCCCAGAGCTTTCCCTGCTTTGCTTTCTCCCGCCCCCTTAATCTATCACCTTCCTCCTTTGATTTTATGTATAGAATACGTTGTAAAACTGCCATTCTTTGGAGCATTTTCTCAATCCATTGAGATTTTGCTTCCTGGCAATTGTCGACAGTTTGGCTCAAATAAACTCTTATAAGTTTTCTCTTAGGCTGGATGTTTTTAATCAACAGTAACTTTAGTTTTTTTTGCACAGGGGAGGGATTTCACATACCTTTGGATTTTTTCATCAATATTATAGCCAAATAGCAGAGAGTTTTACCTGCCATATTTCACAAGTTATACTATCATTCTAACCTGAGAGTAAGAAGCCTAGATGTCCTTGATGCAGTCAGATGAAGGGTTTAAAGCCAGTCTTGGAGGAAAAATACACTTCTATCAGATGGAGAAAAAGACAGCTGAACACTGGCATAAGGTAAAGAGTCATGTTTGGAGAAACCGGAGGAGCCCAAAGCTTTAAGATAACTTAAAATAGTGGTCCTGGTTTCTGGTTTTAATTTTTTCACTCTGAAAATAGAAAACATATTAACCAATGACCCATTCTCAAGCACTAATTTGAACCCCAAATTAGTGCTATGTGCCTCTACTAAGCTGTCTTGAATTCTCTTCTCAATGGCTTGAGAATACAAGTTCAAATGAAACCTAATTCTGAGCACCAAAACTCAATGAATGTAGAAAATCTCTACTGAGTAATATATTCATGGCTAGGCTTTCTGTTTTCTAAAACAATCCCTATAGTTTGAAGAGTAAACCATCTTTACCTTGAGTTAGAGTTGCTTGTCCCTTATTCTAGAAGATTCCCAGCCTCACAGGAAAGGCTGTCTTGCTAAAGGTTACCTACCATTACTTCTGACCTCGCCTAAAAATAAATTAGATCAAGGCAATTAGAGTGTGAGGTAAAAAGAGGATGATGATGAATACTGTGAATATTTGAACTATACATTTTGGAAATGATCTAATTAAGGACCAGAGTACTTTCATTTTCTATGTGGAATGCTAATTACATCTCTTTAACCTATTCAGTTTAACAAACAAATGAAAAAAAACACCAACAAAACCAATAAAGCCTATTTTCTGTAGGGATATCTCTGCTTGTAATAGTGCAAAAAAAAAAAAAAGAGAGAGAGAGAAAGAAAGAAAGAAACAGAAAAGATGCTGTGGGTGAACAATTTACCTATGATCTCTAAAGGGGCATGTTCATANAGAGGATATGAAGAGACATTTCTCTAAAGAGGACATACAGATGGCCAACAGGCATATGAAAAAATGTTCAACCTCACTAATCATTAGGGAAATGCAAATTAAAACCACAATGAGATACCACCTCACCCTGGTCAGAATGGCTATCATCAATAAATCAACAAACAACAAATGCTGGCGAGGTTGTGGGAAAAGGGAACCCTGGTGCACTGTTGGTGGGACTGCAGATTGGTGCAGCCACTATGGAAATCAGTATGGAGATATCTCAAATAACTGGAAATGAAACTACCTTATGACCCAGCAATTCTGCTCTTAGGTATTTATCCAGAAAAACTCAAGACACTAATTCGAAAAAATATATGCACCCCTATGTTCATTGCAGCGCTATTCACAATAGCCAAGACTTGGAAACAATTGAAATGTCCATCGGTAGATGACTGGATTAAGAAACTATGGTACATAGAGTAAGAAATATCAGAGTGACTCGCAGCAGCAAGGGAGGTGCTTGCTGAAGACTTACCCAGATCACTACCTGGGACTCATTGATATATCCTGGTGCAAACCTTCGAGGAGAAAGCAGGCAGGATGACATGGAGCAGCAACGGAACACAAGGAAAAAGACGCACGGACAGGAAGGCCTGGGTAGAAGAGCCCTCACAGGGGATAAGTCAAATCCAGCCAAGCCAGCGCCAGCCCAGCAGGACCCTCTTGACACAACGTGGACCTTGTGCGATGAAGATGGGCACCAGGAGACTAGCCACCAGGCTGATGAAGAGAATTCCTTCTCTGACTGTTACACAGAGTGCATACTAAGAGGTGAGTTTTCCGAACCCATCCTGGAAGAGGACATACTTCTTAAGTGTTTCAACAATCCAAAAGAAGGATCAGAACAAGAGCTTTCTCAGCAGGTTCTTTCCGCAAGCTCACTTCTGGAATGTTCCTTGCAACGCACGGAAAAAGAGGCAAAACAAGAGCTTCCTCCACAAATGGCTGGAGAGAGTTCACTTGCTGAGCATTCTGAGTGCACGACAGGCAAGAAGCTTCCTCCTCAAGGAATACGCAGCACTAACTCATTGGACCCTAAACAGGTCGCAGAATTTGCTGGAAATAAGCCCAGCAAAAAATAAAGAATATGCTGCTCCAGGAAAAAATGTTTGTCCTCACAGTGGATGCGCAAGACAGTTCAAGAGAAGAGATTCCCTGAGAAAGCATATCCGTGTTCATGGTCCCCGAGATCACATGTGTGCAGAATGTGGGAAAGCATTCCATGAGAGCTCAAAACTGAAAAGACATTTCCTGGTTCACACTGGAGAG